GCGATCTCCGCCACCGACGGCTGCGGGCGGTCGTCATTGTCGTCATCCGAGCCGCTCTCCGGCTCCGGGACAACCTGGCGAAGAATTTCGTCGTCAGTGGCCTCCGCGCACGAAACAATGTCGTCGTCCGCACGAGTGAAGTCTTTAAATGTCATTGTGGCAGGTAGAGAATCCTTCTTTCGCCTCTTCCCCGTGCGATGTGATGACGATAGTGCTGACCGAAGACGAAAAAACGGCATCCGTCACCGCGTCTTTTAAAAAGCAAACACGGCCTCCGAAACTTGAAATATGGCGTGCGCATTCCAATCTCGGAGGCAGGAAAGGCATTTGAAGACCAAGCTTAGCCAAGCCGACGGAAAATCCAACATGGCGGCGTTCACAATGGCTTGGAGCGTGGCACAAAACGAGCGATTTAGTCCGAAAAATCGAACTTTCAGGGGCAAATTCGCCCGAAAAATCGGTCGAAACAATGCATTAGCTCTATGGGATCCCTGACGGTGCATTTATGAAGTGCTGAATATCCAACAAGTCCGAATTTTTGGAGTCCGGAAAATCGGTCGGCGACTGTATTTACAACTGGTTAGCTGAGCCGAGCTGTCAAATACGAAGATCACGCGCCAGTATCTGTTGTCGTCCTCTTCTTCGTCGCGTTGACCGCTGTCCCATTGGTAAGTAGCAATACTAAGCCTCGGCAACTTCATATCTGGGTGAAAAGGAAGTCATGCGCCAAATCTTATACACCTAGTCAAAGAACTTCTGCAGTTTCAGAATAGTACATCATTTTATTTTTTATTTATATTTATTTATTCAAGTATCCTAAAGGCCCACTAGGGGCATTACATAGGGGGAGGGGGAACATAAACAGAACACAATTTTTACAGAGAATGAATGATTGCAAGTTAATACAATGCTATATATATAGTACAAAAATTCGAAGAACGTAGTGACAAGGCAAGCAGAACAACAAAAGTAAACATCAGATAAGGCACGTATTAATGAAAGTAACAGGGCTGCCTGCAAATAGGTTAGTAATGCTGAATTAAACAAAGAAAGCTGAGTTATTGTGGCAATCCTCGAAGGTAATTCATTCCATTCCTTTTTCGATTGAAGTAAAGGCGAATTTTTGAATTTTTCTGTACGGGCGAAAATAGGGTTGACTTTGAAAGAATGATCGGTGTGACTAGAAGTATGAGGTGGCAGTAAAATATGCATTCGGGCAAATGATGTGTTAGAGTGATACAGGGTATGGAAAAAGGATAATCTGGAAAATTGACTGCGCGCAGCAAGCAGTAGCATGTTCAGCTCTGCTTCCAAAGATGAAGCGCTTTGAAATTGTGAGTGTGATGATAAGATGAACCCAGCTGCTTTATTCTGAAGGGCATCCAGTAGATTAGTAAGTGTGATCTGGTGGGGATGCCAAATGATTGATGCATATTTCAGGGAAGGGCGCACAAGAAAATTTTATGCTTTAAACCTGGTGTCCTTGTCGGCTAGATATAAACGTCGTTTCAGAAAGCCTAGTTTCTTCTGCGCTATAAAAGTAATATGTGTTCTATGTGGTCAGTCCTAGTTAGTCTTGAATTGATAAGGAGGCCGAGATATTTTACCGTTGTAAATGAGTGTACTATTTTATCGTTTAGTACATAAGTATTACATTGTGCCTTCAAAACAGAACCGAATGCCAAGTGTAGTCCCTTCTACATTAATTTGTATCTGCCACCTGCTGCACTATTGTGTTCGCTTATGAAGGTCAGATCGTAGAGCTATAACGTCGTTAGGACCACCTATTTTTCTGTATATAACACAATCGTCTGCTAAAAGGCGAATTGTTGAACTAATAAGCGATTCTATTGCTGTTTCTTACGGGACACCAAACTTGACAAATGTTGGACTGCATATGTAATCATTTAATTTAATCACCTGAGAACAATTTTCTAGAAATTCCTCAAGCCATCGTGTTGTTTCGCAGTCAAGTTCGAGATTACGTATTTTTAGTGTTAGTCGTTTATGAGGTACGCGGTCGAAGGCGTTTGAAAAATCAATAAAAATTCTGTCAGCAATAAGGGACGAGTGCAGTGAGGTGTGAATGTCAGTTACCAACTCGTAAAACTGTGTTTGGCATGAGAGTTTTCGATGGAAAACATGCTGATTGTTTATGAGAAGATAATTTCGGTTGAGATGCGCCATTATGTACATGTGTAGGTTATGTGTTCTAGCAGTTTACAACTAATTGAGGTCAATGATATAGGACAGTGATTATTGAAGGCAGTGTTATCACCACTCTTAGGTATTGGCAAAACATGAGCTATTTTCCGGCCTTCTGGTACGCATCCAGAGGAAAGTGACTGCTGACATAGTAAAAAAAGTACAATTGCTGAGATGCGACTGGTTAATTTTAAAAGTTTAGCGCTGATGCCATTCGGGCCTGGGCTGGTCTTGAACGGTAAGCGGTCAGTAGCGCGTTTTACAATATTGGAGGATCTAATGATTGATGGAAAGCTAAACAGAATGGCTGGTTGCGAAAAGGTCAAGGAACTATCAATAGAATCTTCATCTGTGTAAACTCCGGCAAAGTACTTATAAATTGCTCGGCACACTCGTCTTATGTTAGCACGTCGCCGTCGGCACCTAACATAGATGGCACCAAACGATCTTCTTTGGAGTTAACTACATTCCAAAACTTTTTTGGATCCGTTTTTAACAGGTTTGGTAGAGTGCAGTTGCAATGTTAATTTTTTTGCTTCAATAATGGCTTGTTCTGTTTCTTTCGAGATTTCTTCATAATTTTGCCAGTGATCTATCTGGCTTATCTGACTGAGTTGCTTTTCGATATGCCCTTTTCTTCCTGTTAATGCGTGTCTTTAGATCACGAGTGAACCATGGATCGCTTACACCTGAGCTTATCGTGAGTCTGGGCACACATGAATTTTCTATTCGTTTAAGGTGATTGCGAAATATGCACCAGTTCTCATCGATTGTACGGTTTGCGTAGTTTGGCTGGAATTCAACTAAAAATTGTTGTAGCATGCGATTCATTTTTTTTGGTGTCTGCCTGCGCATAGTTAAGTATTTCTTTTGTTATTTTGTTTTTGTCCTAGCCTGGTGTAGTGATCGAGCAATGTATGGCTCTGTGATCACTTATTTCTTCCATGATATGAACACTTGCCAAGTCCGGATTGTTAGTCAACATGATGTCTAATGTGTGATTACCGCAAGTGGGTTCACGCACTACTTGGGTGAGGTGATGATAGTTAAGCCACTGAATGAAACGCAGGTGCTCCGCGCGATTACTCTGAGCAGCAATTGATAACCTCTTCCGGTGTATGCCTGGGTAATTGACGTCACCTAATATGATCAAGAAACACCGAGGAAACTTCTTCATGACTTGTTCACTAGCATCACTGAAAACATCAATGAAGTCACATCGGCTATCTGGCGGCCAGTAGCAGACACCAATGACGCAATGAACATGGCGAAAACGAACAGATATTTAGATTAAATCCAGGGGAGATTCGATTTCTACGAGTGACTGATGAAATTGCTGTTTTACTGCTATAAGAACTGCTCCACCTCTAGATTTGACCCTGTCTCGCCGAAAAAGCACGAAATTTGGAGGGAACATCAACTCGCTGTCGTCGATGTCGACTGAAAGCAAAGTTTACATTCCGATGAGAATATCGGTTGAACAAGTGGGCATGGTTGCTTTTAAAATATCAAGTTTATAAAATATACAGCGGAATTTGCCAGGAGCAAGCAAATTGGAGCTGATGTGGGGGCTTTCTTCCCTTGTTTACCGTGGTGTCGCTTCTTGGTCAGCTCTGGTCATGCATCGACGCGAATGACACAATCTGAGGCTGAATCGTAGCGATAAATACCACTTTTCATGTGTAGTTTGTTGTACCACACAGTAAACCGCTCACTGTCTCTGCGGTACTCATGGCAAAATCGCGCAGCTTTCTTCTTTCATGCAGTACTTTAGGGGATAAATCGTCGTCTAACCAGAGTTTTGGTGATTTGAGGTCTTTTAACTTGGATGCATTGTTTAGACTTTCTGTTTTTGTTTTGATGTTTAGGAATTTAACAATAATTGGTCGATGTTGACCAGGATGACGCTGGCCGAGGCGGTGAGCTCTTTCTATGTAATGCGCCTAAATGCCAAGACGAGTGACTAAAAATTCCTTAGCAATTCTTTCAGACTCCACATATCCCTCATGCTCAGTTTCATAAAGGCCCTTGATAATCAAATTGTTCCTTCGCATGCGGTTATTCATGTCTTATACTATATCTATCTGTTTGTTTTACGGAAGTTTACCTTACATTCCTGAATATTTTACGTTACAGCATCAAAGCCTTTCTTCAGTTTCGATACATTAGTCAAACTTTCTTCAATAGATGACACGAACAAATTGATGTTGGTAATTAGCTTACCGATAGCTGCCAATGACGCTGTGGTCTCAGCATGACACTTTAAGCAGTACGAGTACGTCATCGATCTCAGGGCCTGGGTTTGTTTCTACATCGCCCGCACAAATCAAGAGCATCGTGAGGCACACAGACATCAAAAGTGAGGATTACCTAGGGCAAAGATTACGTAAAAAGGTAGCTTCGGCACTAAGACGGTCTTTACGAGAACACCGACATGTTCCCCAAGCAAGAAAAGAACCAACGCTTGCTCGGTATGTGCACACGTCAATACCCATTTGAGCAAAACTAAAGGCGAAAAATTGGCGAGTAGCGGCCACAAGCCGGAATGAATGCGGTATGAATAAAGAAAGCCTACCTATAACGGCAAAGCGTTCAGATTAGGCATATGCCACTTGTGGTCGTGAATCCCAGAGAGCCGATGCCAGGCTGTCTTTTTTGTAGCGATGTGATGGCGCGGCGGTTTGTTGAAGTCAGTGCCCGGGCGCAAGTGACAGTTCCTGATGATCGCTAGTCATTCACCGGCACACTTAGGAGCCAGATAAGTTGATCAGATTCTCGGTAGCGATGGTGCTGCAATGAAGCGGGCGGGCTTGACTGCCATGAGGCAAGGTACGTCGGTCTATAACGGCAAAGCGTGCAGATTAGACATATGCCATTTTTGGCCGCGTGCCCACTCATAGGCGTGCCCACTCACAGTCCTCTTACTCACTGCTATCGTATCCACGTACTAGAATAGACCGTCCCCGGATTGGATCTTGAGCATCGGCATTGCTTCTCCTAACGATTGATACAGACGCCCCACTGTCTATCATTGATCGTATGCGATGTCCATTGACCTAAAGGTCTACATGCAGCAAGCTTGCAGAAATCAAACAGGTCAGTTTTGTGTCTTAGGGTCGACGGAAGACCCTCATTTACTAGTTGTTTTCTTATGCCCCGCTGTGGTGGTCTAGTGGCCAAGCGACTCGGCTGATGAACCGCAGGTCGCGGGATCAAATCCCGGCTGCGGCTGCTGTATTTCGGATGGAGGCGGAAAAGTTGTAGGTTCGTGTGCTCAGATTTGGGTGCACGTTAAAGAATCCCAGGTGGTCGAAATTTCCGGAGCCCTCCACTACGGTGACTCTCATAATCATATGGTGGTTTTGGGACGTTAAACCCCACAAATATTTCAAACAATCATTGTTTTCTTATCTGCACGAAATGCGTTCCTCAGTCATGTACTCCATTTCAATAGTGTGCAACAAATCTATCTGACATGTCGATTGTGAAGACGTCGCTACCTGTGCACTAAATCCCCTGTTTCCTAATGCTCCTTTCTCATAGATATCTCCGTGTGATTCTGCTGTCCTCCCTGACCAATGACAGGCCGTATCTTGGAGGTACTGCAGCAATATCTTCAGAGTTTGTGACATTCAAGCTTGAACCTGTCGTTGCAAATCGCGAGGTAAACCATGTATGTCAAGCACTATAAGAGAAGTCTGTGGAAGAGCCCGGCTCTGCTAGTAGAAACAATCGGCGCTTTTCAAAAGAAATACTGGATCACTGGTCCCGATCTGTGGCGGTGGAAATGGCTTTTTCCCATTGCTCAAGCAGGCTCCCACAGAATGATGAGATGAAGCTCTAGTTCCATGTGCTCCATGCATCATATTCATCTCCCATGATACGCAACTCATACCATTTTCATGCTACGTCACTTAATAAAGGGAACATAAGTTTCACTCCGTCACGAGACATTAATGAAAAAGTTCTTGAGTCGGTTCGTGTGAGTGCCAACCCAAAGATAAAATTGTCATCAGGAAAAAAGAGACGAGGCCATTTGTGCTCAAAATAAGCAAAACAACACTCGATATATTTGAATAACAGGAGAAAAATAAAACTGATAATAAAGAAACCAGAGAAGGCCAATAAGCTAGTTAATAACAGTACAGAGCTGATGATAAATTCAAGCGTTCAGAAGAAATGACAGACGACAATGACCGTTAGGCTCAGACACACGTGCACGCAGCAAAGCTTGATGTAGTGAGACCCTTAGGCGTCACGGGGTCATGGTGTAGCTCGGAAAACAGATAGCGTCGGTGGACTCGAAGTCAGCGCCCTGTCGACGCTCCTTCTCGGAAGCAGGGACGTGGAACCGGAGACAGGCGAGAAGTGCCCGGCCATTGCTAGGCGATGAGGAGCCTGGCCAACGCTGTACTGTGGTTGAATCTAAGGAGCACATCCAGGTGCGAGCCCACACGGCCTTGCCCCAGGAATATCCACCATTCCCGCGCCCTGTTAAGCTTCTCGCCTCCCCAACACCCAGCTGCGTCTCCGCCACACCTGTCGTCATCTTTCTTCGGCTGCTTCTCAAACAGCGTCGGGGCTTCTCATTGGTCACATTTTGCGATGTTACTTCTTGCACTCCGTCTGCACCTCATCTTCCTCGCTGAATACACGAGACAAGCTCGCATCCACCCATTGAGTCATCATTAGGTTTTCCGCGCTGTTGCACTTGCTCAATTTTTAAGTCGCAACTGGTTGCATTCGCACACCAATCAAAACATGCCCCCTTTTCAAAAAGTCACCCCCCCCCAAAACTGTAGGATGCACGTGTTTCACTCTACGTACATGTAGCACCCTAGGAACTCTTGTTGAACATTGATACACGAAAATTCCATATGCGGCAACTATTTTGGAGACGGTTTGCGAAAATACTTTGCCTACCATCTGTAGTGATACATAAGTTTTGACCTACGGCTACAACCTGCTCATGAAGTCTGCACCCGCATTGTCTCAACCTTTTATATGCTGAATATGAAACGTGTATTCTTGTAGTGCTAGGCTCCATCTTAGCACCGTCTAGACTCCGCCTTTGCACCCACTAGGTGTTTTTCACTCACAGTGGTTGATGATTTATCTGTCTTGCACTACAAACTGCTATCCGTACAAAGATATATAGAATTTTTCTACCGCCCTTACCAGCGCTAAGCATTCCCGTTCGCGATGGAGTAATTCTCGGCAACAGCACTGGGTGTAACACACCCTCGTTGTCTTGCATGAGGACTGCGCCGATCTATTGCTGGACGCATCTGTACGGAGTACAACACACGTTTTGGATTGGGTGCCTTGGACGACCGGCCTTGAATCAAGGGCTTCTTTCAGCGTCTGAAAGGCTTCTTTTGTTACAGTAGTCCAATGAATCATGTTTATTTCTATTTTGTAAGTAACTTGTTAAAGGCTGTGCCTTCTCCGCAAAGTGAGTTTATAAAGGGAAGCTAAAGGGTTTTTAAAATTTAACCTAACTTCGTGTTTAGGAAGGACTGACATTATTGTCGACGATGTCATACTTGTTATAGCGGTTTGAGTAGCAGGAGGTTCAAAACAGGTGAAATAAAAGCGTGTCTTGCTTTGTCCCGCGAGCGCGCTGAAAGTGTAGCGTGGAAACATACGTCATCTTCGTTTCCTCTGGCCCTGAGCAAGGTTTCTTTCTTATTTATCTTCCACCACGGCCTCCGTGACCAAAGTGGTTCCTTGGGCCTATTCGTACAACATAGTTGAAAAACAAACAGTGCGAAAAACGAGAGACCAGACGAAGAAATACACATACAGCGCTCAGTAGGGGTACTTCTTTGTCGTGGTCTCTAGTTTTTCGCGCTGCTTGTTTTCTTAATTTCCGTAACTAACCTATGACGTGCCATTGCCGGAACTAATCGAAGAGGCCACACACTTCAGCAGTGCTGCTGTTGCAGATAATGCGACTTACCGAGAGTGACGTCACCGTGTTTGCTCGGCGTCTCAAGAAGCCCGGCGCCTGCAGCCACTGCTTTTCACCAAGAAGTGCTATTGGCATTCACTTTTGAGAACTCTCACACCACTTTTCGAATTAGGCAGGGATCAAACTGTCCTCAATCATTTTTTCAGAAAAGTGATTCAGCTTCCCTTTGAATTTCAGTAATACCCACCTAATCCCAGAAAAAATTTGTGCTGCTTGTTAGTGTCAGGCATAGGTGCGCTGGCTATCTTCGAAACTGTACTTTCTATTGGCTTAATAGTTCCCCCTCCTCGGCGGTGGCCCGAAAACACAATCGACTCCACGCCGATCTCGCACTTCTGAGTCCTAATGGTTAAGCCGGACTCCCGTAGTTTTTTTCAGTAAGCGCTGCGAAGTGTCGACATGCTTGTTGCAGATGTTCTTAGCTCTGAGAACATGGTTAATGTATTGGACTACCTTTTCGAGGCCTATTAGAAGTGCTCTCAATAAACGGGTAAACACTGCAGAAGTCGTCTTTATGCCGAACGTCGTGTATATGAACTGGAAATGCTCGGATTGCGTAGAGTGTACTGTTATTGATCTCGAAGCTCAGTCAAGTGGGACTTGCTAATATTGCTTTGTGAGATCGATCTTTGAAAAGTATCGCTTTGTGCCCACCTTAGTAAGCATATAATTTTTTGGTATGGGTTCAGCGCTCGAAACCAGAATTCGTTTATGCGACGGATGTCGATGCATGTGCGGTATGTACTGTTCAGCGTCTTAATAAGTACCGAGGGCGAATTGTAGGGCGAATATGATCGCTCAGTCACACCCAATTTTAACATGTCCTGAATTTTTTCATACCACTTCCTTAAGGGTCGTTGGTGAAGGATACTGAAGCGTGTTGGTAGGTTCAGATGTCAATTGAAGTCAGAATTCCAACAGATTCATATTTCCCGGTATTTCAGAGAAGACATCATGTTAAGTGGTTAGAATCTTATGAAGTTCTGTACGGTTGTCTTCTCCTCTACCACTTACAATCGGAATCACTTCCACACCCACACTTGGCCTCACCTTGCAGGCCGGTAGCGAGGTTTTAGTCTCCTACTCCTGCACGACCGCAAAAAAATGCTGTCTGTGGAAATGGGGCTGGTTGCCGATCTTCATAGTGTTTTAGCGTTTGAATATGAAAAAGCTTGGCATTGTACCTGAAGTCGAACCAATAGTCATATTGACCCTTTTTCTCAATTACCGGAAGCGAACCTTTTCATTGCATCAACAGCTTATTTACCGTTGTATGAGCAAAGTAAGAGCCCGCTCTCCAACTTCCAGCTAACGGCTCTTGTCCTTCCGATCATAAGTGTTTTTGGGCCCTTTTAGCTTGCATCAGATTTTCATCAGCTAATTTGAGAGTCTTATCCAGACAATCTCAGAGATCAAGAACATGTCCATAGGTCATTTTAATCTTCTCTTCCGTCTTCTCTCCAGTCCACAGCTCTTTTAGCAAGTTGAGTGGTCATCAGACGTATGTCCCATAAATGAGTTAGAAAGGAGAGACCCCCATGCTCGCTTAAGGAACTTCTCGGTATGCAAATAGAAGGGGGGCGAGCAGTCGATGCCATGATTTTTGATCTTCTCGTCAGAGCTTGCATAGCATTTGTTTTAACGTCCCATTAAATCGCTCAATCATGCCATTGCACATTGGATGATACGAGGGTGAACTGAGATGTTTAATGTCCAGCGAATCATTACCTTCCCTCATCAAGCCTGAGTGAAACACAAGGCATTGTCGCAAAAAATTTTATGGTCAAACCCAACACTAGAAAACATTTCCATCACCCCATCTGTCACAGTCGCTGAGTCAATCCCGAAAAAAGCA